GGTGAAAGAGCTGCTAATCCTCCCTTAAACCTCAGGAGCTTTGCATCACTGCGCTTATGGTATTTTTATGCTGATGTAACTCAACCCAGGGCAGGAGTTTGTACAGAAAAGCAGAGTATTGAGCCCATGTACTAATTTCCAAGGGCGAGCCACAGTCAATAATTTGGAGGCAGCACTTCAGATTCATGTGTCAAGGGGATGACAGAAGAATAGCCTGTCAGTGAATTAAGGAAAAAAGAAAAATCCATGCTGTAATATAGTGATATAAAAGCTGGAATTGATTATATTTGCATTCTGACAATTCATGTGAGGGGGCTCTGCCAAGCTTGTCAAAAACTCTAAATAATGACTTTTTAACCCCTGTGCTCAACAAATCATTTATCTGTTTCCAACAAACTTTTTTAAGGTCTCACGTGCTTACTGAAACCCGATAGCAGAATGGTTGTCTCCTGCAGGTTTCATGGAAGCAATGGGGGAATCGCTGCCTGTATGCCACTTTCAGCAAGCTGGTTATTTCCAACGGGGACCTTGGGATGCAGACGACATTTGACAAGACAGTTTACCCAAGCAGGTATGTACCTGGCATCTTTACACCCCATGCCTTGGGTTAAGCATGCTGGTGAAACCCAGGAATGGTCATAAAGAGCTCTTCCTTCTCCAGGACATCCAAGAGCTCAGGTTGAACCTGATGCTGACTATGAAGTATTTATACTAGAAGGAATCCCAAACTATTGTTTTAGAATCATAGAGTCGTATCATAGAATGGTTTGGGTTGGAAGGGACCTTAAAGACCATCTAGTTCCAACCCCCTGCCATGGGCAGGGACACCTCCCACAGCCCAGGTTGCTCAAAGCCCCATCCAGCCTGGCCTTGAACACCTCCAGGGATGAGGCAGCCACAGCTTCTCTGGGTGACCTGGGCCCAAGCCTCACCACCCTCAAAGTAAATATTTTCTTCCTAATACCTAATCTAAATCTCCCCTCTTTCAGTTTAAAAACATTGCCCCTTGTCCTATCACTACACTCCCTGATAGAGTCCCTCCCCATCTTTCCTGTAGACCTCCTTTAGGTACTGGAAGGGGCTATAAGGTCTCCCCAGAGCCTTCTCTTCTCCAGGCTGTAGCCCATGAATTGTTTGCATCGCTGAAGTTGTATTTGAGAGACTCGCCCATGTGCACTGTTTCTGCTGGCTGGAATGGTTTTGAAGCAGTAAAATAATAGGTGCGACCAAGTTTTTCAAACCAGCATGGGGATTTGGATGGAGGATGCATCTAGCTTTCCTGTGCTGCCCAGCCTCATGTCCCAGGGGGTTTCCCCAGCTGCAAGCAGCTGCCTGCGTGCTTCACCCTGAGCCTGATGTCCTCTAACCCTGCTTAGGCTCCTAGGACCCCCTAGGGCACCGGGATATGCAAAATAAGAAGCGGTTGTTGGATTTGCTTCTCAGCTCCTCGCAGCCTGCTTGGAGGAAGCCCCCGTGCAGGAACGCCAGGGAGGAGAGGCAAACCCTCGCACCCGGCTGTCTGCCACCGCACAGCTCCGTCCTGCTTTTCCAGCACAACAGCCTCCCCCCAGGTGAAGCAGCAGCCTCTGCGTTCGCCCGGTCCTGCAAGCGCTTCACAGGGGGCTGTGAAATCGGTACCAAAACAGAAGGACTTCTCAGAAAGGAGATAATGAAGAAGAAAGCTCAATGTGTTTGAAAACCTAAATATCCCTCATTTTCTCATGGTTGTTTTCAGTGTTGAGGTTTATTGTCGGCAGTGTACTGTAATACCTTCAAGTATTCATTTGAAATGACTGGCTCAGAGCGAACCCTTCCCTCTGGCTGTTGCCTGCCAGCCTGAAATGAGACGTGGGGGCAAAAATGGGTCCTGTCTCTGTGGTGACAATTTTCTTCAGGTTTAAGGAAGCTGTGAGCTTGAAGCAAGACGGTACGAACTGTCAGCTGCTTGCAAGCAGCACAGGAGAATGTGAGAGCCTGGACTGATTTCCAAGATTTTAAGCATCCCTGCATATCTCCTGTGATGATAATCATGTCAGAAACCAGAGCATGAAAATACAAATGTCAAGCGAAAGGATATAATTTTTCATGCCTGGCTGAAACTGAACACCCCGATCTCCCACTGCAATTTTACTTCTGTAAGCGGTGCAGATAACCTCAGTTAAAGGAAGCTATTCATGGCAGGAGTCGAAGGCACAATAAAAGGCTATTGCCTAGAATTTGGGATCTTCTAAAAGCACAAATGTCTGTTGTTCAATTCCTGAAATATTTAGTTTGCATGTGAAGCTTGTTTTGTTCCGTCTTTGTCTCCTCCCTCTGACACCCACCAGGGATTTTGCTGCTTCTGCACCTTGCCGCCCTGGGGGAAGCTGAGCAGCCAGGGACGCCTGTCGGCAGTGAGCACACTGCCTGCGCCCGGGGCAGGAGGCTCTGGGGCTCTCTGTCCTCCTGCAGCTCCGCTGTCCCCCAGCTTCCCCGTGCTCCCCCGGTGTCCCGGCCGAGCTCCGCAGTGCCCAGCCCTCCGTGCTCAGCCGTGCCCAGGTGCATCCAGCAGCACTGGCTGGTTTTGACTTTGCCTCTTTGTGGAAAATCCCTCTTCGTGGAAGGATAACTCGCATCCAGACGGAGGTCTGTGTCTGGCAAACCGGCTATGACACTGGTAGAGGCTGAGCCTCTGAGGCGGTGCTTCTGCTGCGTGCTGGGGCTTCAGGAGCCCCATCCTGCAGGCTCATGCAACAAATGTGAACACATTGCGTGCTCAGACTTGGCACAAACTGCAGAAAAAATAGCTCTTCTACTTCTGAGAATAATTTTCATGTTATTTCCCAGAAGGTTCCTGTGGTTTGAGGTCCCCGCAGGACCAGACAGCCCAGGAAAGGCAGCTCCTGACCTTCACGCTTGTCACCCCTGACGAAGGGTGCAATAACCCTTTGCCACCATCCTGTCCCCTTTCTGTGCCACAGCTGCCACCAGAGGACCAGTTCACATCCCTGAAGGGATCCCATCACTTGCTGGGTTTGCAGAGGGCTCTGCTAAAGCTGCTGAGTCCTGCTGCCACCTAAACCGGTGGCACACTAATGCCCACCCTGGTGAGAGTGTCCAAAGCTGTCCTGAAGACACAGATCTGGCCTAAAATTCCCTTGTTCTGTGATGGGTGCATCTGTGGGAAGAGTCCTTAATTTGAGAAGTTACGCCTTCAGCGCTCTCACCTATGGGCAGCCCCAGCAGAAATCAAGGCTCTGCTGCCCTGGAGAGAGCAGGGCTGGGAGAGCCCGTCCGAGCCGTGGGGATTGCTCCGACTGTGGCACAGCACAGCCTTCCCACAGGGGACAGCTCTCCGCCCAGGTTATCTCGCTGGTTTTTGCCCATGGAGTAGCTTTGGAGAAGAAGAGCCTCTCCTGCAGGCGCTACCTGCTCCAGCCTTGGCTGCTGTGACCGCCTTGTGACAAGCAGTGCCTCTAAACCAGTAGTTGCAGCTTCAAAAGATGGAAAAAACCAGAGTCCCGTGGGAGCCATGTCCCCACCTGCGCTCAGGGGACAGGTCTGCGGTGGCGCAGGAGCAGCTGCCGCTCCAGCAAAGGGTGACCAAGGAGCACTGAGCTCGCTGTCAGGGGAACGAAAGGTATTTGTAACCAGAGAGTGGGCTGGGAGAGGCTGAGAAGGATTAACACAAACATCTCCGCTGATTTAATTCTGCCCGGAGTCCCAGAGCAATAATAAGCTTAAGTTAAACGTTTACATCTGCAAATGTGGCTTATAGAGTGATGTTATCTAATTTCCTCTTATCTTTCAGGCGCTTGCTGCACAGCCTGAGACAAAGCCAGGTCTCCTAGCACTGATGGAGCTCGCGCCCAGCCTGGGGTGGGCTCCTGGGGCGCAGGGGACAAACTGGGGCTGCGCAGGGTGGCAAACGCTCGCTTTGTGCCAGGGGAGAGCGGGTGGCCTGAGCTGCCTGGTCCCTGCCTGCCCGCTCCTCGCCTCCCCGCAGGCTGGTCCCCCACACAGGGGGGGCCGGGCCCCGGG